TGTTCTCCAACTTGTAACTTGATGGTTTCCATCGCTTTCCTGCTGGTAATGAGCACTGCTTCGGTTTTATGCTTAACTAATTGCAAGTTTACCGTAGTCATCCATAAGTTAATCCGTCCAAATGTAATGTTAAAGGCCAGATTTATTCGAGATGCTTCGCGACAATTACCACGGCAACATCATCTGTATATGCTACCAGTTTTACTTCTGCTGGCAATGCTATTTTCAGGAGACCATCATACGTAATGTTCCATAGCAGAGGACCTAGAACTGAGCCCTGTGGTACACCACCAGTAATATCATACTCCTTAGGACCACTTCTTGTGTCATATTTGAGGACTCTGTTTTTGAAGTAGCTTGCTACCATTCTACGTAAATACCCTGGAACTCGTTTCTCTTCGAGGGCACGCATTACGCAGTCCCAGTTAGCAGAGTTAAAAGCATTTTTGATGTCTTATGCAGCCACCAAACAATACTTTTTTGTGCCGCGATTCCATCTCTTTCCAGCAATCGCATCCTTAGCTGTGTTGACGACCAGGTTGATTGCATCCAGGGTTGACCGTCCTTTTCGGAAATCAAATTGGGTTTTTGAAAAAAAATTTTTTTTGTGATAAATAGAAAGATTATATATTAGTTTTATAACAAAACTATTTTTTTTTTTGCAATAATTCAAAAGTTATTTCAAAATAAAAATTAATTTTTGAATCCAGTACCGAAGATACGCCGACAGCTCCCGAACAAACCCGAGCGCGTGTGACGTCATAATGTTAGTTTTCACTCAATGCAGTTGATAGGAAATTAATGAATGCAGTGTTTTGATCTATTTAATTTTGTTGTCATTATTAAATATTTAAATATGCAAAAATCGGATGACTAGGTACAAGATACATCCCCGGACGCGTTATTTTTACTCTTAATTCTTTCTCAAGAACTTAGATTACATCTTTTTCTAACTCTTTTCCTCGTGTCATAGCGCTTGTCTCATGAACTTTACTTGCACCAATGATTTGTTGAACTAGCGAACCATTATTACTTTTACAATGAGCAGCTTCATAAAATTTTGATGCAGTTATGCGTCCATAACGAAGTTCATGCCAAATTGCACATTCACTTTGCTGCTTGGTTAGCTGTTCAGCTTCTACACACACATCTTCTGCCATTTCAGTTTTAGCGAATTCCAAAAATTTCTCTACTCGCAAATCAATATTTTGATTAAAATCCAAAATTAATCGATGTAACGATAAATTGTAAGTTTTTTTGGATTCTAAATCAAAATTTAATTGCCCAATTTGAGAATTTATTTGTTGATTTTTGGCAAATTCAACAACTTCTTGTAAAAATGTACTGTTATCCGGAAAATTTTCAACAGGAGTAGTCGAGGTTTTTTTTGTCAGTTTTTCTGCTTCAATATATTTTATAACTGTACCAATGCCTGATAATCGAGACTTTTTCCAATCGCAAGCGACTTCTGTTGGTGTCAGATCTTCACTTCTACGATGGGTCCACATAAGTAATGCTAATGCATGTTTGCAACCACCTGTAGACACAATATAAAAGATTATTATTGCTTACAACATCAAAAAATTTAAATTTAATAGGAGTATAAATTACCTGCTGAAGCTGCACAGTCATGGCATTGAACATCCTGAATTTTTTTTGACTTTTCATTAATAGTTAAAGTAACTGAATAAGCTTCACTCTGAACTCGGTGTTCTGGACATACCCGTCCTTTTACAATACAAATATTATTTTTACGACTTAGTTGAACATAACCTATAGCTTTGTCGCCGTTACTCTCACGCGATGCTCTACAATTTATGAAATAAACAATTATATTTAATGTAATTGTGACGGGTGGGCCTACCGTCCCGTCAATAAATACTTAAAATTTTCATTTATTATATTATTTTTTAACAGACTTACCTTGATGCCTTGGCACCTCGAACTTCAGCAGAATGAAACCGAACGTCATTTTTTAAAAAATCGGTTATCATAAATATATCAACATCAGGAATATTATCAGACTTTGCCTTAATAAATCCTTTATCACACATAGCTAATCGGAACCAACTAACAACTCGTATTTTAGCAATAAATTTTCAATATTATTGTCTAGTCACGTGTAATAGCCGTAAACGCTGTACTGTTATTAAATAGCTATAACATTATGACGTCACAACTATGGTGACCAATCATGGCGCGTTTATAGTCACGTGATTTTTATTTAAATTTCATCAATTTTTAATTGTTTATAATTAATTGAAAAAAAAATTTTTTTAAGTTTTTTGCATTAAATATCAATATTATTAATAATAAAGTTTTAAAATACATAAAAAAAATCAATAATTTTTATTTTTTCAAAAACTCAATTGGTTGTCTGCCAGGAGTGGATCAACTACTGCTTCTATTCTTTGGTGAATTATGCGCTCTAATACCTTACCCGCCGTGTCTAACATGCAGAGTGGACGGTAAGATGATGGTTCATCAGGTAGCTTTTTTCCTTTCGGAAGCAATACAAGTCTTTGCCGCTTCCACCTTTCAGGAAAGACTCCTTCATTGAGACACGCATTGTAGGTATCTATGAATAATTCCGGCGCTGCTTTAATAGATGTTTTTAAAGAAATGTTTGGAATTCCATCCAATCCCGGCGCCTTATTATTCCCTACACGATTACATGCCTCCATCAATTGCACGCCTCATAGCGCGAAGCGCGTGAGGTTGTGCTTTATACTCGACTCGTCAAAGTCAAGCAATTTTGTGATCTTGTGTCTCTATCATAACCATATTACATTTATACAATAATTTTAGTAGATTTACACCGAGAAAACACTTAAATTAAACCATCTTTTATTTTCTAAAATCATTTCATGTAGGTATTTTGATAAAAAAAACGTTTTAAAAAAAATTTTACGTGGACGTCCGGATGTCACCCCAGTTTGGATGTACCAACGAGTACTCCCGAACAAATTGATATTTTAAGACCGGACCTTTTTTATTCGTTCAAGAATGCGATGAACTGGGTCCGTATTCCATATCAGTAGCCTAGTTTACGTATTTTTTTTTAATTGAATTCTTATTAAAATTCACTACGATACAACCGTGCAAAGACAAACGAATTTTTCTTATTTGTCACGTGAAATCTATGGCGCACTTCATCAAGCTAGATTTTTTTAAACTGCGTGCGCATATGACAAGAAAAAAGGGCGCTGATATTTAAAAAAAAAATACTCTGTAAGAAATGACTTAATTATAATTTTTTTTTTTTTAATAAATTACACAATCTATTTTTTCTTAAAAAATGAATGAGCGTTATGAGGCGTGCACTTTTGGATTTTCCAAACTTTTCTTCCTCTCTGACGGGTAGGATGTCTTCAGGGTCAGGCTGCAGTGACGAACAGATCAACTCACGTTGCTGAGGAAACAACGTACAGACGATTTTCTCTAGTAGCTGTGGACATGTAGGTGTCGGCATTGGTTGATATTTCAGGTGGGTCATGACCACCTTGTACGGTCTGCCCCACAGATCTTTCTCTACCTCTTCGACGAGCTCCTTCCAACAGCGTCTTTTGCTATCCTTGATGGCTCTATTCAATTCTCGATGGGCTTTTTTGTACTCTGCCACCTTCTGCAGAGTTAGGTCGACGGTAGCTACGCTGAGATATTCTTCTTCTTTTAAAACACTCTTTACGAAGAGCGCTGATGTTATCGTTCCACCAGTTTACCGAAGATCGATGATTCATGCCACGTTTCCGGGACATACAAGCGTCGCAGGCCTGGGTCACTCTCTTCATTAGCTCTTTTGCTTTCTCTTCAGCACTCCCTGTGGTAGTCGGGTCGCTATCTAAGGCTACTATCAAAGTAGCTGGGTCAAAAGCTTTCACTTTTCATCCAACTGCGTTTGTTTGTCTGGTTGCTCTTCGAGGGTTCTGGCCAGTTGATACTTCCCAAAGGACGGCGTAGTGGTCGCTGGCAGTGTAGGTGTTCATAACTACCCAAGAATAGCTTCCTCTCGTAAGACTGATGCTGACGAACGTAAGATCCACTATAGAGCTTGCCTCTCTTTTTGAATATGTTGGTGTCTCACCAGTGTTAAGGAGGACAACATCAAGTGTGCCCATCGCTTCAAGTAGAGCCTTTTCCCGTGCATTGGTGAACTTGCTTCCCCAGTCTACTGCCCAGGAATTGACGTCACCTGCTCTTGCTACGGAAAAGTGTTGCCTTGCATCTTCGGTTAGACGATCAAGAAAATAGGCGATGAATTGTTCCAAAAAAAGACTCGGCGGGGCATAGCAGCTATAGAAACGAATTCCGTCTGCCCATGCTGCTACAAATCCGGCTTTTCTGTTGTTGACTGCCTTCTGGAATGGTACTTTGTCACAGGACCTAATGACAGCTTTGTTGGTATTGTCCAATTCCCAGGGTTAGGTACTCAGATGTTTATATGGTTCTGCTATCAGTACTAAGTCTAGCTCTAGTTCGCACACGGTTTGGATGAGCAAATCATGCGCAGCCTCACAATGATTGAGGTTGAGCTGCAGTATCTTCATGCTCGTTTATTTGTCATTTTCTCGAGTGCCTTTTTGAAAACCGGGCATCTGTATGTGCCAGCATGGTGGGCAACGTCCTGCGCACTTTGATCGTCAGCGCATAATACACATTTGGCAGGATTTTTGCAATCAGCAATTTTGTGTCCTTCTCTTCCGCACCGTATGCAGTGCTTAGATCGGTCGATTTCACTTTTGCACTGTTATCCAAAGTGCCAGCATTTGAAGCATTGTATCGGTCTCTTTGTTGCTCTCATTCGGCAGTTGACCCAGCCAATCCTTATTTTGCCATTTTCTTCCAGTAGCTGTTGAGCTACAGCTGCTGGTACTGTCACTGTAGCCGTTTGCGTACCTCTGTAGGCCTTACGGATCTTGATAGCCTCTAGTGGTATTTCGCAGGTTTCTCCAGTTTCTGTTTTCAGCAAAGTCTAAATGTTCTTCTTCGTCGTGTCATCATCAATGTCTCGGATCTCGATGGTCTCCTGCGGCCTGCGGTCCTTTGCAGATTACTTCGGCCTCTTTTTTAAGAACGTCCGTGATGGCCTTTTGCAAGGCTTGGCCTTTGTCAATACTCTTCTTTGAGAGCGTAATCAGCATGTTTCCGGTTTTGGTTTTGCGGATCTTTTCCACGGTTGTGCGGACCTGTTCGTCGGGAACGGCCTGCTGTATACGACGCAATATTTCGCGGTTTCTTCCGCTTAGGTTCTGGCGGGGGCTCTTTCGGCGGTTGCTTTGGGAACTGCTCTTTCCTTTGCCTTTTTTGTTCTTTTTTAGACTGAACTCGTTGCCAAGCTGACGCTTTCATCTGTTCGTCGCTTCGCAGTGCTGTTCTTTGCAGAGAGCTTTTCTTCAGGTCCTTCTTCTTTGTTGCTTGGCTGAATGTTGGGTCTGGAGAGGTTCTATTTTTTTTCTTACCAGGCTTGCCAAAAGTTTCACGCCTGTCTTCAGTGACTGATTCACTGTCATCTTCGGCTCTGGTGTCCATTGCTTCGTCAGTCACGACGACAGCTTGACAGGTTTTCTCCGGTGTAGCACGGGAAATGCGCTGCAATGATGAGCGCCATTCTTCGTCCAGTTTCTTAAACCTTTGAAGGGCGTTAGCTACGCTAGTCATCTTGGACTTTATCTCTTTGTGAATGTTGACCTTTGATTGGACGAAATCGATCAACTCACTGGTCAGCTTTTCAAGGCGTTCGAGCGTATGTTATTTGGCTCCTCCACGGGAGCGTATGTTATTTGGCTCCTACCCTCTGTACCTCATCAACTAAGAGACCTAGTGTCATCCAAGGACAGCGAGCGTTCTCCCGTCCACTACGGGGAGACGCGCTTGGTAGCAGTTTCTCCTCTGCCGCAGAATGTGTGTGTGTGTGTGTGTGTGTGTGTGTGTGTGTGTGTGTGTGTGTGTGTGTGTGTGTGTGTGTGTGTGTGTGTGTATGTAAATTTCTCGTAACTTTTGAACGGCTTGACTGATTTCATCGCGGTTGGTGTCATTCGAAAGGGCTTCGCCAAACTTAGATTTCCTGTAAGTTGGAACCCATTCGAACCGGTAGATTTCGAGACATTGCAAAAAAAAGTTTTTTTTTCATTTTTTCAAAATATCTCCGGATTGACTGAACCGATCGACTTCAAAAACTAATCAGCTCTTAACCTTAAAAACCCGCATCGATCGCCACCAAGTGCGTCAAAATCGGTTGATGCGTTCGTGAGATATCGTTGTCGAAAAAAATCGAAAAAAGTGTTTTTTTTTGTAATAACTCCGAAATTTTCCATCAGATCAATTTTTCTGTTCAAAATTTTGTATAGAGCTCGAAAAACTACATCGATCGCCGCCAACCTCGTGAAAATCGGTTTATTAATTCAAACGTTATAACAATTTAAAAATTTTTAAAATCGTGTTTCATTGAACTTGGATGAAACTTTTGAGCTCGAAGAGCTCAAACGCATAAGAAAGCTATCTCTTCGAGCTCACAGAGCTCAAAATGACTTATAAATTATATTATTGAGCTCGAAGAGCTCAAAAATGTCATAAGTGCAATTTTAAGCGCCTAGGTATGGAATTACCGGGAAGTTGCCGGGATGGCCTTCAGGGTCAACCGTTTTTATAATTTTTTTTTATAGAGAAGCGAAAAAAAATCTTCCAAAGACACCGCTATCATTGAAAGATGATGGCGGTAGGGTGGGATTTTTACCCACTAAAAAAAACTCCTTTCTCCTTCCTCGTAGATAGTACGGAGATGACTGGAATAGAACTGCGTTAGCATTACTTCAATCTAGTCCATGTTGCGTCTCACGACGCCTACTCCTGGGTACTGGTCCCTTTCTGCGATTTTTTCTTTTAAAAGGCGCTGCGCGTAGGCTGTGACAGCCCGGGAAAAAAAGTTTAGATCTGTTCTGATCAAATTTGATCTGAGCAGATCAGATTTGATCTAAATTTAGATCTAAGTACATATGGACAGATCTACTTTGATCTGCTTAGATCAAACCAGATCAAGTTTGATCAAAATGAAATTAAAAAGTAGATATGAATAGATATATTCTGATCAAACTAGATCCACTCTGATAAAATTAGATTCATCCAGATCAAGTTTGATCAAAATGAAATTATAAAGTAGATATGAATAGATCTGTTCTGATCAAACTAGATCTGATCAGATCAAATTAAACCAATCCAGATCAAGTTTGATCAAAATTAATTTAAAAATTAGATATAAATAGATCTGACTTGATCTATGCAGATCTAATTTAATCTGATTATTACGCAGGAAAAAAAGTTTAGATATGATCAGATCAAGTTAGATCAAATCAGATCAAGCTTGATGAATATATGTAATCATAAAGGTGATACAGATAGATCTAATTAGAGCTGCTCTGATCAGAGCAGATCTACTTAGGTACGACTTTTTATACTTTATGTCATGAAACCTGGTATTAAGTAGTTTATTTATTTGTAATTAATCATCAAAATTGTTGAAGATCAAGTATTTTCAATTTTCAAAAATTTATAACTCAGAAACTATCAACTTACGGCAAATTTTATAAGAGTAATTTTGATCTTAAAATTGCTTAAAATATAGAAAAAAAATATCCGATCTCGAAAAAAATTATTTCTCAAATAATTGTTTAAACAAATGGCTATAAACAATAGATGGCCTGGGATTTTGCAAAAATGACTGCGATATTCGGTTTCAGTGGGTCAAAATACATAAAGTAATTATATTTTGTACAATGACCTCAAAATTTTACGAAAAGATAATACAACGCCTACACTATTATCTGAAGAGTAACTCAGTCAGGTACTTCTAGTAGCTGAATCGTACCCTCTGGGACTGACATGCAGGAGGACCCAGGTTCGAATCCCCAACATCGCAAATTGTTTTTCAACGATAATTCGACTTTAAATCACGGAAAATTGATATAAAATACATAATATCTAATTTGCAAGTAGAAATAAAATAAATCTTACTATTATTTTTATTTTATAAACTTTTTTATAAATTGATTTTGTTTCAATCGGACCAGATCTGAACAGATCAGATTTGATCTAATCAGATCAAATTTGATCTGGACAGATCCGGCCAAAATGCAGATCTGCTCAGATCTGATGAATTTAATCTGATTTGATCTGAGCAGATCCAAAGTTTTTTTCCCGGGTATACAACGTTGATCTCTAAATAAGTTTATAACGGTAGTGGAAGACTAACGTCCAAATGATCCCTATAAATAATTAAATAAATTAACCCTTTAACGTCCTGGAGTCCAGAGAAATATTGGTGTCTCTGTAGGGGGCAAAACCAATCATAATGCGTTATACGGCTGTGTGAGTAGTGGCTTGACTATAGCTACTAATGACTATAGCTCTCTCACTTAAAGAAGAAGGCAGACGATTGAAATTAGGAGTAGGGATCCAAGATCGACCGTTCAGGGTTAAAATTAGTAAATGAATAAGTTATAATTATCTTGAGGGCGTCACTAGGATTTTATAACTCGGTTCCTGGAACTGGAAGAACAAGAGCGATAATCTACAGGGTAGTGAAATCTACCTTCTATTTCGGGTGTGGCCGAATGGCATTTTTTTCAAGCGTATTGTTTCCAGAAACAATTATTCGAAGTATACTCTTATAACCATTGATTAATATCACTCTTAAGGAATCTGTAAAGGCTTCTCTAAGTTGAGATACTCTGACAATAAATAGAACGTAAAAAATGAATTTCATTTATAATTTTGTCGTTTGATTTTGCTTTAAAAATACATATCGTAACCCTTTTTGCAAATATGAAAAGATTGGAAATATATAAATAATTGTTTGAACAATAGTATGAATATAATGAAAACATTTAAGGTTGACCTGGCCACCGTTATTTCAAATTTCTCTTCATTTCAGAATCAACTTCTCTGTCAGCTGGGTATTATAGTTGTCCTAAAAAAGAGGAAGTTTATTCAACATCGAGCTCTAATTCACACTTTGTTCCTAAAAATTACTCAACTCAATGCAATAAAGTGAAACTTGATACAGGCTTAACAGATGATATAGTTCCAGCTATTGATACTCCAGAAGCTTGTAATGGTGCCGCTAGCAGGTCAGACATATTTCAACTTTAGTTTATAGATATATTTCAAACCTAATTGATAATCTTTAATTTTATGACTCACAATATGAATAGTTAGAGAATGTTCAACAAATAAAAAAAATTAGGAAAACGGTTGACCCTATAGGCTATCCCTGCAACTTCCTGCTAATTCCATACTTAAGCGCTCGAAATTGCTCTCCCAGCTCAAAAGTCTGACGAAAGTTTGATAAAACACTATTTTTTGAATTTTTAAATCGCAATAACTTTTGATTAAATGAACCGATTTTCACGCGGTTGGCATCATTCGAGCCAGTTTTTTAAGCATCAATGAGAATTTTAAAGTTTTAATTGATCGAACTAGAAATTTCGGAGTAATTTCGAAAAAAACACTTCTTTCGCTTTTCTTTACATTGAATTCATCATGTAAGTTTTCTATTGGCTAAGTTATCACAAAATATGTTACTAATTAGAGAGCGTTCAAATATTACGTAACGTTTTTTAACTTCCCGCTAAAAATCTCAGATTTGCAAAAATCGGGAAGTTATTGGTTTCACCCCGTTTTGCGAAAATCGAGTTTTCATCAGATCTCGACGTTTTAAGGTCATAGGAAGCTTCTCTGACTACCCCCGCAGTGGTGTCTGTTTGTCTGTCTGTGTGTGTGTGTTTTTTTTTCCCATTAGGGGGGGGGAATCCTTTTTACGGATTCTAGGAGTAGTTCTTTGGCCTGGATATGTGGCGACTCGACGCAGCGTCATACTAAAACTCGACGCTAATGCCTCTACCCACTAAACCCTAAACCCCTTTCCTCTTTCCTCTAATCCCTCATGGAAACCGCTGTTAGGCATTACTTCGTGGGGGGGGGGGAGGATATAGCGACTGCTCTTCTTTCTGGTAGCTAAGGTGTTATTTTACCTTTCTTCTAGTTGTTGTCATTTGCTTTTCTTCTTTCGATGGAACGCAGGTCTATGAGAACTTCTGTTGCAAACGTATTTGCGGCGTTCCAGGCAGCCTCTGATGACAGCATTGCTTCTATTACGGTCTCTGGTTGAATCTTCTGGTGTAGGATACTCTCGAGTAGATCACGCTGTGGAATAAATCGTGGACACTCAAAGAAAACATGCTCAGCATTTTCAATTACTCCTGGGCAGGACGGGCACTATGGGGAATTATCGTGTTGAAAACGGTGTAGATAAGCCTGGAAGCAACCATGCCCTGATAACATCTGTGTAATATAGTAGTTGACCTCACCGTGACGCCGGTTCAGCCAAACATCATGTGTGTGTGTGTTTTTTTTTTGGTAAAGAGGTACGAAAAAAGATCTTCAAAAGACACCGCTATCGTTAACTCTGCCGCCCATCTTACGGCAGATATCGATAGTCGGTAGTGTGGAGATTTTTACCCACTAAAAAAAACATTCCTCTTCCCCTCTCCCCTAGATAGTACGGGGAGGACTGGATTGGAACCGCGCTAGCATTACTTCAATCCAGTCGTGCTGCGTCTCACGACGCCTACTCCTGGCTACTGGTCCCTTTCTGCGATTTTGTC